GACAAGTTTTCAATAAACAGGATCTTATTCTTTCGTTAATAATTTTTTTTTTTTTTTTTACCAAAATAGAATAACCAGGTATTAGTGTTGAGAAAACTGGGCTGAATAAGAACAAGGTAGAAAATACTCAAGCATGACCTAGGCTAGAAGGCAAGATCAACACATTTCCCTCATCTCTGCTTTCCTGAGGTAACCACCTAGAAAGAAGAAGTCATGCACTTCAGATGACAGCCATATACCCAACCATCACTGTCCCATGATTCTATCTATCTCCATTTTTTCTTAATGGTTCAGAAGACCATTAAGGAAATAGTAACAGGTTTCTGATTGCCACTCAGTGGGCACACCTCTGTAATTGAAAGTATTCCCTCTGGGCAAGCACATATGTCAGTTTGACTAAGGCTGAGCTTTGGGATACGAGACTTGTAACTATGACTCATAATGACCCTTACTGTTAATTCATGTAGGTCACAGAGAGCTCAGTATACTGTACTTGCAACTAACTATTATAATAAAGCAACATTACAGCAAGATAAAATTTTGAATTTCATACTAAGACTCTCCAGATACCCTGGAATACCTTAGAGGTGGAATGGCTTCTGACCAGGGCTGGGACATACTCTCAGTTGTCAGTGTCCCTAAAATAGTTGCTAACCAGATAGGAAGTCAAGTGCTCTGTAGGAATGAAGAAACTCCTAGAGGAAAACAACAGAACTAGGAATCAATTACAAGCCAAAACTTCTTAATGCTCAAGAAGTTAACCAGCCTAATGGGAAATATTTGTTAATGTTTATAATAATAATAATATGCCTTTATGTGGCTTGATTAGCAAACAAGATATTTAACAAAAAAGTGACAAAGGTCTGTCAGCATTTTGGCAAATAAATGGAGAAATGATAGCTCTCCAGAGTAAAGGCTATTCAATAAAGGATGTCAGGACTATATAAAGAAATTTAAAAATAGGGCCCAGCAGTTAGAATAATGGATACATTGCTGGACTCCCACATGGCCAACTATGGTTTGAATCCCAGACCAGAAGGCTTGAAATTCAATGTTGGGCACATGTGTGTTTGTGCCCAAAATCCTGCAAGGAGAATGGAGAAGGGATTGTGGTGTGGCCATACCCCTGGGGAGTGATTTCTTATTTTCTGTCTCTGTCTCTCTCTCTGGTAGAATGTATGTGCCCTATACCACAGTTCTTTCCAAAAACAAAAAAGTTCTATATCTACTTCATACCATATGCAAAACATAATTGCCAGATAAAATATTTAAATGTTTAAAAGATTTTTTAAAAATCATACAAATACTAGGATAAAATATTAGGAAATATTTATATAATTTAGGAGTATAAAATAATCTTTCTAAGCATGACACCAAGGCACAAACCAAAAAGATCTGGTAACAAAAATAAAATTTTAAGGTTGCATAAACAGTAAAATGAGAAAAAGCAATCTTAAACACATTTTTCTAATAAAAAGGGTTGATTTTCTCAGTATAAAGAATTTTCCACAAATTAGTATGAAAAATGCCAAAATAAAATCTAAGCCAAGGACAATTGCAAGTTATTCACTAAAGAAATAAAATTTATCATTAAATATATGAAAAAGTACTCTGCTTAGCAATGATGAGAGCAATGCAAATTATGAGATACTAATTTTTTATCTATACAATTGGCTATTAAAAATACAACTGCTCATTGCTGCACCTGTGCTCATGCAAGGTTTAGTAGGAATGTAAATAGGCTTAACCTTGTGGACAGAAAAAAATAGATATTAAAACTGAAAGTGTATATGCTCTTTGAATAAGGAGCTCTACTTCTGGTAATTTGTTCCAAGAGAACAAATGGACCAGCATAAAGATCAATATTTAAAGACATTTAATGATACAGTAATATATACAACTGTAAAAATAAACTGCATATCTACCAATGAAGACTGAGTAAATAAACTAATGTATCCATACTGCAAGATACTGTGAGGATACCAAAAAAGATGACATGGATTTCTTATTTCTTAGCATAAATATGTCCATAACATAATAAATTTTAAAAAGAGATGTTACATATACTGTGATCCCATTTACATTTAACCATATGGGGATAATAATAGTACCTTTCTTATAAGGATATTGTGGGAGGTAAAGGGGTTTATCTACATGAAATGCTTAAAATGGTGCTTGGCATATAGTCAGTCAGTAACATTAAAAATGTTACTGTTATTATCCTATATTTGTATATGTGCATAGGAAAGTCTGGAAGGATATAAACAGAATATCAACTGATTATTTTTGGGTAATGGGATTATTTTTACTAATTTTATGAAAACATTTAATGGTTTCATATTTATAATGAAAATAAAGCATTAAAATGGATTAATGCAATGGTTTCTTGTTCACGTCAGCTACTTTATCACATACTGAGTTCCTGTCTCTGTTCCAGGAGTGGCCCTGGACTCAGGTCTATTTTTGTGGGTGTGCAGTTCTCGAGATTCACCACAAAATTAATGACTTTTCTTACTACATGGGAAACAAATGGAATTATGCCTTTTCTCTCTTGTTCTGTGCATTAATTCCACACCAATCTTTTGAATTTTTTTTTTCTTTTAATGTTTTGCAAGCATATGCTTGCTGGAGAGAATCAGAATCAGAGAAGGGAAAGTTGGAAATTACCCCCCAGGGGAGATGATCACAACACAATCCCTTCTCCTCTTGGGATTCTGAGCATTCACACGTAAGTGCCCAGTGTAAATTTCAAGCTGCCTGGTATGAAACTTGAACTGCAGTAGACCATGTGGGAATCCAGTACCTTAACCACTGCACCACCTGTGGCCACGCCCCTCATACCCACTTTAGACAAATTCTTTACAAAGTTCTATAAAAAGTCATTGTAGTCTCCCATGTAGTCAATCACGGTTCGAGTCTCGGACCCTGTGACTTAAACTCACGCCGGGCATGTGTGCGTGCGTGCCCAAGATCCTGAGAAGAGAATGGAGGAGAAGGGATTGGGGCATGGCCATCCCCCCTGGTGGGTGATTTCTCGCTTTCTTTCTCTCTGTCTCTCCCTGTCTTTCTGGCAAGTGCAAGTGCCCTATAGCAAAAACCTCTCCAAAAAAAAAAAAAAAAAAAAAAATGATAAAAGTTGTGTTGTGTTAGCTTTTTGATTAATGCTGCTACCAAAATTCAGATAGATTTGTTGATTAAACCAATTTCAAATGCAGTAATGCAGTTGTGTATAGTGCTCACTGCTGCCAGTCATTTATGATCCCAGAGAAGTTAAAGAAGGAGCCACAAGCTCTGCCCTTACCTGAAGAATTGATAACTGGTAAGAAAAATAAATATGTTCTATGTCTGTTGTCTGTTTCTCCTTCAAATGGAGTGGCATCAATAGTTTTGACTTTTCTAAGAACTCTCACATGAACATTGTTTGTTAGACATGTTAAAATCAACACAGCAACATTTGAATCATGTTCTTATTAGAAACAAAGGCAGTAATGTAACCCCTTCTGACTGATTTTTGAGGTTGTTGGTAACATGAGATTTTTGCATCCCTCTTTATCGTGAAAGGTCTTAAATAAGACCTAACTTGGAAAAGAAACAATCTGACAGTGAGGAGGAAAAAAACTGAGATGAAGAACTTAAATATTCTATGGTACTGACATTTGATGCTCATATTTCTGGGATTTTTTTTTAGTGCTGTGAGAGTTTGCCAAAAAACATTTACAAAGGAAGTGCAAAATTTATACTTTTTTTTTTCTTTTTTGGGGGGAGAGGTTTTGCTGTAGGGCGCGTGCGCTTGCCAGACAGACAGAGAGAGACAGAAAGCGAGAAATCACCCCCCAGGGGGGATGGCCATGCTGCAATCCCTTCTCCTCCATTCTCCTCTTGGGATCTTGGGCACGCACGCACACGCACCCGGTGTGAGTTTAAGCCACCGGGTCCAGGACTCGAACTGCGGTCGACTGAATGGGAGTCCAGCGACATAGCCATTACGCTAACTGCTGGCCCCAAAATTTATACTTTTTAAGTATAATTGTTTAAAATTTTATTCATTCATTCATTTATTTTAATTTGACCAGAGAGAGACAGAGAAAAAGAGAGAGAAAGTGAGAAAGCAAGCCACCAGGTCCGGGACTTGAACCGGGTTCGGCCATGTGGGAGGGTCCAGTGCCTTAACCACCATACCACCTGCTGGTCCCCAACAAAACATATACTCTTGACAGCTACAAATATTGTTTAGAGAAGGTAAGGCAATTTCATGGAAAAACATCTCATGTTCTTGGACTGGAAGAATCAGCCTTATTATGTCACTATTTCTCCAAGCATGTTACAGATTTGATACAGTCTCTATCAGAAGCCTAGCTGACTTCTTTGTATAAATTAACAACTTAATTCTAAAATTTATATGGAATTGTAACAGATCCAGAATAGTCTAATCAATTTTAAAAAAGAAAGCAGTTAGCGTAATGGGTACGTTGCTGGACTCTCATGTAGTCGACCTGGTTCACGTCCCGAAAGTGGTGGCTTAAAACTCACGTCAGGTGCGTGTGCGTGTGTGCCCAAGATCCCGAGAGAAGAATGGAGGAGAAGGGACTGCGGTGTGGCCATTCCCCCCAGGGGGGTGATTTCTCGCTTTCTGTCTCTCTGTCTCTCTCTCTGTCTGTCTGGCAAGTGCATGCGCCCTATAGCAAAAACCTCTCAAAAACAAAACAAACAAACAAAAAACAAAGTAGGAAGACACACAGTCTGATTTTGTATTTACCAACAAGCAGTGTTAAGACATCATAATGGCGTAAGGACACACATGTAGATCAATGAAAGACAGAGTCAGACATAAAATCGTGTCATCTGATTTTCAACAAGGGTGACAAGACCATTCAATAAGGATAGAGTAATTTTTTAACATGGTGCTTCAACAACTGGATAGTTATAAGTGAAAGTATGAAACTTAATCTTTAGCTGAGACCATACACAAAAATTAAATGGATCAAAGATATAAGAGCTAAAACTATAAAACTATTAGAAAACAAGAATACATTTTCATGACCTTGGATTTGGCCATGGATTCTTAGCTATGACATTAAAGAACAAAGCAGGAAATAAAAGGATAAATTAGACTTCAATGAAATTATAAAATTCAAGAGCCAACAAGTGGTGTGGAGGGTAAGGCAGCTGGATCCCACATGACCAACTCTGTGGCTGGAGCCCCAGATCTGGCAGCTTGGAATCAAACTGGGCACATGTGCATGTGTGCCCCAAATCCTAAGAATGGAAGAGAAGGGATCGTGGTGTGGCCATTCCCTCAGGGGGCCATGATTTTTCATTTTCTCTTGCTCTCTTGCTCTTTCTAGCAAGCACACATGCCTTACAGCAAAGATTAAAAAAAATAATAATAAATAAACAAAACTTCCATTTAAATGGACACTATTATTTTTTGCAGAGATTTTTCTTATAGGGCACGTGTGCTCACCAGAAAGACAGAGAGAGAAAGTGAGAAAACACACCCTAGAGGGGATGACCATGCCACAATCCCTTTTCCTCCATTCTCTTCTTGGGATCTTGGGCACGTACACACACATGCCTGGCATGAGTTTAAGTCACCAGGTCTGGGACTCAAACCGCAGTTGTCTACATGGAAGTCCAGTGATCCAGCCATTACATCATCTGCTGATCCCTAAATGTACACCATTAAGAGTGGAAAGACAACCCACAGAATGGGAGAAAATAATTACATATAATTTATCTAATAAGGGACTTATATCTAGAATATATAACATTACTGGATAATAAAGACAGCCTACTAAAAATAGGCAAAGGATGTGAACAGCTTTTCTTTAAGAAAGGTACATACATATGATCAATAAGCATAAATAGGGAAACGTAAATCATAATCAGAGACACTACTTCATACCTACTGAGATGGCTACAATCAAGAATACTGACGTATAGCAAGTATTGTGTATGCAGGGAAACAAGAACCCTCATTCTGATGGTACAATGGTACATCCACTTTGGAAAACAGTGTGGCAATTCTGCAAATTATTAAGCACATGATTTGGTAATTCCACTCATAGTTGTATAACCAAGAGAAATGAAAATATATGCTCGCACAAATAAATGTTTATGTCAGTATTTGTTATAGTCAGAAGTTGGCAACAACCCAAACGTCCATCAACTGATGAGTGGGTAAACAAAATGTGATAATATCTACATGGTGGAATGGAGTAGTGATTCATATTACAACAAGGGTAAGCCTTTAAGGTAGGCTAAGTAGAAGAGGCCAGTCACAAACAATTACATAGTAAAGGACTCCATTCATATGAAGTCTTCAGAATAGCCCAATCCATAGAGACAAAAATGCTTAGTGGCATTTGCTTGGAGCTGGGAGGTAAACAAAGAGGTAAAAAGCTAAAGTGTACAAGGATGAAGTGACAATGTTTTAAAATTGAGAGGTGATAGCTGTATATATCTGTGAATACAATAAAAACCCTGAGTTGTACACTTTGACCTATTAGATTGTTGGGGAAGTCATGATGTTTTTTTCTATGCAAAAATGTGTCAGGACTTTCATGACGACCCAATATATCTCGGTTTTTTAAACTGTAGGGTTTTTTCTCCCTGAAAACACACACACACAAAACACTCAGAATATTCATCTCTATTGGGGACATGATAGAGCAGACAAGGAGAAAAGCTTGGAAGCTCTTTTTTTCACTGCATCTTCCACTGACCAGCTCCTCACTCCAGCTCCCATTGCTTTAAGAATTTCCAGGTGGGGAACCAGCAATTAGCGTAATGGCTATGTTGCTGGACTCCCATGTAGTGGACTGAGGTTCGTGTCCTGGACCCAGTGGCTTAAAATCATGAGCCGGGCGTGTGTGCATGTGTGCCCAAGATCCCGAGAGAAGAAGGGATCGTGGCATGGCCATCCCCCCAAGGGGGGTGATTTCTCGCTTTCTGTCTCTCTGTCTGGTGAGCACATGCGTCCTATAGTAAAAACAAAACAAAACAAAACAAACAAACAAACAACCTCTCCAAAAAAAAAAAAAGAACTTCCAGGTTATCCAAATTATAGCTTGGAATTCCACACTCACCTTCTCCACCCAAGTTTTGTACTCAGTAATGTATAGATGCATAGGGAATGAAAAACAACTGTAGAGGTAGCCATTTTGCAGGTGGAATACAGAAATGATCCCAAAGGTCAGAATAGAGAGGAACTTCCATGTGTAAAAGAATATTTTGTAGGCAAGAGGGACAGTTGTGGGGCAAGCAGACTCCTCTCACTAAAGAAGCCTTAGGCAGCAACAGCAACAAGTTTCCATTCTCGATCTTCAGTTTAAAGCTGATGAACTGTTTTAATAATCCTTCCTCTATCTCAGTTTAACAGAGGATGTCAGACACTGTAAAATATTATTCTCAGCTAGTAAAGTTGTTTGTTTCAGCACAGCTTCCCAAAATGCTCTTCTATGAGTAAGAGTTTCAATCTACTATTACACAGCAGAGTGCCGAGCCTGAGGCTGAAGTGAGGCTAAAGTTCTGAAATCCCTGGAAATCATGTTATGAAATTGAAGATGCAAACAAATGTTGTTTCCTAGAGTTTAAAAGAGGAATGATATAATGAAGTCACAAATAATGCTTATTTTTATTGATGAAAACATATTTATAAAAGCAGGAAGAAATGAATAAATAAAAATAATTCTAAAAAAAGGGGGGGGGCCAAAAAAGGGGGGTCCAGCAGGTGGCATGGTGGTTAAGGCACTGGATATTCCCACATGGCTAATCACAGTTCGAATCCCAAACCTGCTAGCTTGCTTTATCACTTTCCCTCTTTCTCTCTCTTTCTGTTTATTCTCTCTGGTCAATTAAAATGATGAATAAATAAGAATTAAATAATTCTAAAAGAAATAAAAGCAGGAAGAATTCTTTGTCAATAGTAGTAAAAGAACAAGAAAATCTTTAAAGCTTGTTACAAGAAAATTTTCAGCGAATCAGAAAGGCATCATCAGATGAGCTTTAAAATATACATAAGATGGTGATAACCAACCCTTCAAATATTCTCATGATACCTATCAAAACGTCATTGAAGACCTGCTAAATTCCATGATCTCAAAGGTTTCCAATTTCCAGATGTGTTAAAATAAAATCAGGCAATTCTTATAATTCTGTTGACTAAGGTACATGATTGTGGGTACAAATTTATGTGGATGGCTACTGTCACCATCTACTTACTTGAAAATACATAGTTTCTAGACAGTTTTTTGCTATAAAGGTTAATGGTAATGTATCATAATGGAAAGTACAGATTTAAAAAATATAACTGGCTTGTGGCTTATATTTTTGGAAATGGTATTTTGGGTAAGTTTATAGCTCTACTCAATTTCTAAATAACACCTCATCCTCATGGGGTTGTGTGCAGATTTTAAAATAATATATGTAATGTACCTAGAGCAGCACTTGACATATTAAAAATATAGTGAATATAGTTTTGATTAAATAATATTTGTGATAAAAATCTGAATGACCTCTGATTGGTAATTGGGAATAAAATGCTTTTTGTATGCTACTGTTTCTATAATAAAATAACGTTTGGTACATAATTTATAATATCTTTTTTTCTTCCTGCAAGGACTTTTTATAGGCTAAATAGAGTAATTTATAATTTTCAAATATGTAAATAAATAAGGTTACAAAAAATGTTTCAAACCTTAAAAGTTACTTGTTTACCTTGATATCCTTTATTTTTTGCTTTTCAAAATTGTCAATAGTTTCCTCCAGCTGACGAGTTGTCCGGGTAGCATCCATTGTAGCTCTCTGTAATTCAGTTTCTGCCTACAAAAGTATTCACCAAGCAAAGATATCAAAAAATCAAATCAGAATCCATTCAGTCGCGTCCAATGGTAAATACTACCATTGTACTATTGGCTTTTTTGGCATAACAGTTTAAATTATTCAATATTATATTTTTACCACATATAATAAAACAACATATAATAAACACATTCAGAATAAAACATTTAAATCTATTAAGGGACATAATTCATGATGTTAAACTAAACAAAACAAAAATTCTTCCCTCTATTTCTATAAAGCCATTTTTTTTTTTGCCCTTGGATAGTTAACTGTAAAATAATCTATATTTTCTACTACTTTCATCTGTTTCACTGCTTATGCCATTTATCTTTTCTTCTGTCTCCTCTTTAATCCTTTCTTCCTCAAAAAGAAAGGACTAGAAAAAGAAAGAAAATTCCTGACTTATTACCAGGAAATGTTAATGCTCTCAAACACTGCCTCTTAATCTGTAAAATACAATAATGCATATCTCATAGCACTTTTGTATGGATTAAATGAAGTGATCTTTGTATAGGACTACAAAGAGTCATTGGCACACAGTGGAAAGACTTATGGCTATGAAAATTTCCACAACTGAGAATCTTTGATTTTTAAATTATTATTTCATTATTTAGGCATTTTGGGCTAGCAAGTATAAGGCTATTACACTTTGCTTACTTTTACTAGTTTTTTAAATGTGTTAAATATTTCTAATTCTATAATATCCTAATTAGGTGGAGTAGAATGTATACTACAAATATTTAACATGGAATTTCCACTTGCAGATTCTTCTTTTTCAATTTGCCAGAGGGTGTGTAGAGAGAGAAAGAGAGAGGGAGAAAAAGAGGAGGTAAAGTGAGGAAGCATCCCCCATGGGGGATGACTATCCCTTCTCAATTTCTCCTTTACGGATTTTGGGCTTGCACATGTGTCCCAATGTGTTTTTCAAGCCACCCAGTCTGTATCTTAAACTGCTCAGTTTGCGATGTGGGCTCCAGCTGCCTTAACTATCATGCCACTGGCTGGCCTACAGATTCTTTTCTTTTTTTTTGAGAGGTCTTTGCTATAAGGTGTGTGTGCTCGCCAGACAGACAGAGAGAGACAGAGAGAGAGAAAGCAAGAAATCACCCCCCAGGGGGGATGGCCATGCCGCAATCCCTTCTCCTCCATTCTCCTCTCGGGATCTTGGGCAAGCACGCACACGCACCCGGTGTGAGTTTAAGCCACCGGGTCCGGGACGCAAACTGCGTCGACTACGTGGGAGTTCAGTGACATAGCCATTACGCTAACTGCTGGTCCCCTGGCATACAGATTCTTATAAGCTAATGATATTACACTGTTTCTATTTATTTAAGCTATTACAAAAGATATATACACTAGTAACTAATAAATTAGATGGTAAGTCTAATGCTTTCCTTCATAAACTCTGATAATATACTCACCAATTAGATCTGTGTTGTACAATCAATTGGTGGCCACTAGCCACATGTGGCTATGTATGTTATCTAAATAAAAATGTAAGAACTTAACATTTCAAGAGCTCGGTAGCCAAATACAGCTAGTGGCTACAGTACTGTTAAGTGCAGAACATTTCCAATCTATTTATGTATTTCTCTTTAAGCATCTCATTCTTTAAGACAGCAGGTGCCCAAAATCATAATTTTTTTTTTATAAACAGTAACAGAAACTTAAAAATAAAAGAGTTTTAGCCCAATTTTCTGATTTTTTCCTATGAAAATGTTTCTTGTGCCAGTATTATGTTTACTCAATAGTCTCATACATTTTAATAACTAATCAATGGAAAAAATGTATTTGTCATGAAAACTGTGACATGTAATAGCATTTAGCCTTTGCTTTCTTTTTCAAGAAAATGTATAAATTCAAACAAGTAAAAGTGTTTACTATAAGGGTCCATTTCTTGACACATCACTTTATTACCCACCTGTGACTGAAATTTTTCATAAAGGAAAAAATACATTTCAAAGAGAACATAGCATTTTTAAATAAATTAAAATAATCATATACTATTACAGAATGATATGCTCTTGCAACTAAGTTATACATTAATTGTAACTATAAATTGATCACATACTCTTGCCATTAGATTCATTCAACTAGTAAGTTTCAAGATATTAAGCACATAAAATATATTTATTTATTATATAGGATATAAAGTTTAGTAAAACCATTAAGAGGGGACTTCAAAACCTTCATGGAAAGTTGGAATTTAAGTACAAGTTTACTTGGGTGCAAAAAGATTTTAAAATCCACACATAATTCTCTTTAAGTAATTTTATTTCAAATTCCTTTTTATTGTCAGAAGATGTATGTGCTCACTAGAGACAGAGAAGAAGCACCACCCAGTGGGGCATTGTCATGCTACAATACTTTTTCCTCCACTTCTCCTTCTCATCAGGATTCTGGACATGGATACACATGTGCCCAGCATGTCTTTCAAGTCACACAGTCAGGCATGTGTGATCTGGTGCCTATGCACAACACTTACCCACTGTGCTGTGGGTCCAGACTGATAGTTTTTTTTCTTTGGAGAGGTTTTTGTTATAGGGTGCATGCGCTCGCCAGAAAGACAGAGAGAAACAGAGAGACAGAAAGCGAGAAATCACCCCCCAGGGGGGGATGGTCACACTGCAATCCCTTCTCCATTCTCCTCTTGGGATCTTGGGCATGTACACACACATGCCCGGCATGAGTTTAAGCCACCGGGTCCAGGACTCAAACCATGGTTGACTACATGGGAGTCTAGTGACATAGCCATTATGCTAACTGCTGGTCCCCAGACTGATAGTTTTTTAATTACATGCATTTTCCATGAACTTTTTCAAAGATCCTTTGTATAACTTTTCAACTTAAACATGACCTAAAATAAAAAAGTAATTATTTATAACGCTGAACTTAGGATTTTTAAAAACTGTAGTGCTATTACAGGAAATGTGAAATAGAGCTCCTTTGTAGATTTTTTATATGAAAAATTTCTAATGGTTATTTGATAGTGTTAACCTTTCACATGAGAATTTACAAGCAGAATAATTTCCGATAGTGTTTATTATGTGTGGCTGATGCAGTTTTTTATTGGTGCCTACTTCCTTTTGACCTATGCCTTTCCCTTCCCCATTGATACCTACAGTTGATTAAATGGGGGAAAGCATGGGGAAGAAGCCATCTGTATACTAATATATATATATATATAT